TATTATTATTATTATTATTATTATTGTTGTTGTTGTTGTTGTTGTTATTATTATTATTGTTGTTGTTGTTGTTGTTGTTATTATTATTATTGTTGTTGTTGTTGTTGTTGTTATTATTATTATTGTTGTTGTTGTTATTGTTGTTTTATAATTTTTTTTTATAATTTGTACAATTAACCTCCTTGTGGTTCGACCCCGGTCTTGCCGGGTTATTTATTACTTCGACACTCCTGCACTTGGGAGAAGACATCAATCTTTTCGTCGTGTCAGCACCACCCCAAAGAGGCCAACTCAGGTAGCCTGTAGCTGTAGATTTGAGAATTTGATAGTGCACCATGCATATTTTGAGTCGACGGTTGAGATCATTTTCATCTGAATCAAGGGCTGGAATTTTTCTCCAGAGTAGACAAGATTGCCCTCTTCTACCACCTATAAATAAAGATGGATTTGATGGTCTGAGAGAGGATAAAATTGGGTCCAAAGTCAACCAAAAAACTAATTTTTCTACCAATTTCTGTAAATTTTCTTCCTTCTCTCTCCACCGTGGCCTTCAGCCACCTTTCTTTCCCCATCATGGCTTTAAGCCACCACCACCAACTCCACCATAGGAAGCCAACTCAACCACCAGCCGACCACCAAGAGCCACCATCGGTTCTCTCTCCTCTCTGCAGCCTCTCCCGCATGTTTTTTTCATTCTTCCTCTTCTAGCTGCAGCTAACTCCACCATCGTTTCCACCGCCAGCTTCAGGTTGTCCTCCTCTGCCAGCCAGCTATAATCACCACACTAATTGGTCTGCCACCCTTCCCCTAGTCCTTCATCTTTCCCATAGAGTTTCTAATTTTAGCTTATAAAAGAAGGCATTTGCCATGCATTTAGGTCTTGGTCTTAAGATCAAAATCATGCTCTTGCTTTCTCTCTTTGTATCTTTGTATTGTTTAAGTTTTGCTTTCATTAATATCAAGTTTATGCCTTTCATTTTCTTTCCTTTACTTATTTAAGTTTTTATTTATTTTATTTATGTTTTTTTCTTTCATTATATTTAGCTAAGTTTATTATGTCAAGGTGAAAAGGTTACACTAATGGTGTAAGAATAAGTATAGTGTAAACTTAATATGGACTTTAATGTTTGATACTAACATGTTTTATATTTGTTATCTTGTTCACTCTTTAATACTTTACTTGTTAAATGACTAATCTTGATTTATGTTATATAACACTTGGTACAACAAATGCTTGGCACTTTCATAGCCCATAATGTATGGTATAACCGACACCTGAGCTATGAAAGAAACTTGATTCCCCTACCCCCAAGTAGCCGATCCCTTCTCCAACCAAAACCAGAGAAGCTAGGGCAATCCCCCCGTTCATTGGTCTTCCTTTAGCCAAAAAGCCGCTGCCCCCACCTTTTGCTTTGAGGCCAGGAACCAAAGAAACTAGAGAGTACATAACATACCCCCTCATAGCTCCTCTCTCGACCTCTCCCTCATAAACCCAAATCAGCCATACTCTTCCTTCATCTCACCAGGGCTATTCCTTCACAACCAGTCTTCCCTCAACTGCTGCAAACGCCGTCTCCGGCCACTCCCACCATTTCAACAGATCTTCCCTCTCAGCTTCTCCCTTCTCCAACCGCCAGCTCGCCAAAACCGGCCTCCACCGAGCCCCATAGTAGCAGCCAATCTCCTTCAACAACAACCCTGCAACACCGCCTGTAGACTGGATGGAAACCCACCTTGGCCTAGCATAGTAGCCTCAGCCCTGCCTTTAAAGTCGACCGCCACCTGAAGAAGGGAAGAACATAAAACCAAAAGAGAAGACAAAAAAGAGTAGATCTAAAAAAAGGAGAGAATCGAAAGCTTTGCATTGTGTTTTTCCCTCTTTGCAGGTAATGGTGGTTCCCACAAATAGTAGAGAAGGGAAGGGAAAAAGAAAACAGGGAAGATCCACCCATCTCTGGGCATTGCCAGCGGTGGCGCGTGAACCCATGTGTCGCTAGTGGCGGGGGGGGGGGGGGGGGGCCACCACTATTCCGGTGGTGCAAAAGGCCTTCCCTGTGATTCCAGATTGTTTTTAGGGGCTATTTTTAAATTTTAAGATTATATAATGTAATTTTTGTTTAGTTGTTTTAAATATGTATTTGGAAGTTTGGATGTAAAAAGAAAGAGAGAAAAGAAAAGGAAAAGAAAAAAGAAAAAATATAGTGAAATAGAATGTGTTTGTTTTTTTATGTTATTTAATTATAAAAATATGTTATTTAAAGATAAAAAGAATTAAGTGTTTAATTTGAATATGGTTAAATATCTCAAGGACAAACAAAATCATGTTATATTTTCCATGAAGATGTAAGAACATGTTTCTACATAAATTCTGGGATTTAATAACTGATTTATTAAAACCTTAGAATTTGATTAATATTTCAAATTTTCAAATCACATCAAACCGTAAAGCAACTTACCTTAGGTAGGGTGTGCTAAGGGTGTTAATACCTTCCCTAGACACAACTAGTCCCTTACCTCTTGAATCTCTGGCAAAGATTAGTACATCTGGGTTTCCTAGTAACCTTCCATTAAATACTAGGTGGTGACTTCCAAGAACCAATCAAGGAAAAATAACAAAAAATTGCTGAATCGCCACGCGGGGGACGTGCAACGGAATGCAACTCCACTAGGGAAAGGTATTGTTTTCAACTTTATTGGACTAAGCTTTGTGTTTTTTATGTGTTTAATTTTTTTGCTTTTTGTCTTGTTTTATTTTTGTTTCATTCATGCATTGTATAGAATTGTTTCATGTGTCACAAATTTTAATTTTTGAAAGCACACATATGTTTTAGGTTAGGTGGGGGACTAACAGCTTACCTTACGACTTTTAGTCAAGGTTTAAGTTTGTGTAAACCCCAATTATTCATTGAGTGCTGAGACTGTTAGTGATTGGTATATGTACTATCTCACTATCTGCTAAGCCCCTATATTACCTTTACGAAGGTGATCACCAGGACAACAAGAGACCCTTTTTAGAGACCAAGTAGCAAACCTGCCATTTGTCTCACGTAAAAGACTAGAACCTGCCTTTAGGATGTATGCTCCGTACATATTGCTTTGCATCTAAGCAAACCCTTCTTGAAGCATCTTGAATTCAAGACTTACGGGGGATATAATGGTCATCACTCAGGAAATTTATATTGTAGAGTTTGAGCAAGAATAAAAATTCTTGTTTCATCCTGCAAGAGTTATGACCATATGTCACCCCTCGAAGGGCCAATTCATCATATAGATTACATGGCATACATTTATCATGCATGTACAGGGATGAAAATAGGTTCCCCATCTGAGCTTTGTTGCACCTGATTGAACAAAGATGATGGCAAATAAAGAAAAGGGTCAAAGAGAGGCTCATTGTGAAAGGGAAGTTGAGAGCATCAAAGGTGAAGTAGCTAAACTCAGATCTGCTTGAACAAGTGTTGAGCTTCAAATGGAAAGAGAATGTTCGCACAGTCTTCTGTAGGAACACTACTTGTCAACGTCCCATTGAAGCTACACCTCTATTTTTTCAGTCATTAACAACAATAATGCCTTCAGTCATCAACTAAGGACAGCCTTCGTCCTTGTTCAACACTGGCAGTCGTTTATCTTTCAAGAGCACCCAATACCTGCTAGCTTTCTGTGCTTGATGCGTTGGCCTTTTTTCCAACTATCTCTATTGTGAACATCATTCTGATCCAGCAACATAAGATGTGGGTCTAAAAAATGAATGATGATTTTACATTGGTCTTCAACATAGCAGAGCTCTCTCTATAGAGATCTATTTGTGGCTCTACAAGTGGGAAATATAAGAAAGGATGTAGTAGTTTCAGAAGCTATGAAAATTTACACCACCAGTTTCAGTAATCAAACATTGTAGTAGGCAGAAGAGCCAGACCTGGTCTGAAAAATAGAGCAAGCATTGAATTTTAATATAGTAGAGCTCTCTTTATAGAGATTTGTTTATGGATCTGCAAGGGGAGAATCTAAGAAGGGATGCAATAGTTTCAGGTCATCTATAATTTTCACCAACTAGTGTCAGCATTAAAACACAGAAGTTGGGAGAAGAGACAGACTTGGGTTGAAAAACAATAAGAAGATTGAAACTTCAATAAAGTAGAACTCCCTCTACTAGTGTATGTTTGTTGCACCGTCAATAAGGAATCAAAGAGGAAATAGAGGAATTTCAAAATTATCAAGTTCTCCTCCAGTAAAGACAGTGCGTGATTTTACACATTAGCAGTGGCAGTGCTGCATGTTTCTGTGTATTGCCAAGATTACCTAGTTGTTGGAGGTTTCCCAAAAACCCTAAAACAACCACAACAACATTGGAAGATTGGCATGATGTTATGAAGATTGTCGAAAGAATTGAAAGAGTTATGGGAAAGATTGAAGGTTCTTCTAGGGATTCCAAAACTATGAAGAGAGTTGAATCAGAAGATGACTCTCAATTGAGAAACCTCAGTTATTTTGCCTAGTCAGGTCTTGCTATAACATCACCTGCTCAAATGTCTTTGCCAAGATTGACATACCTCTGTCACTCAAGTTTGTCGATCAGTATTTGTCAAACTCTAGACTTATTGCCTCAACTTCATCAAATTCATGCAACCACCATGGTATAATTCAAACGAGATATGAATATCATTATGGGTAACTTGGTTAATTTTGCAAGTGCACGAATCGTAACAAGTAATAAAGTGATGAGTAGAGTATCGTCCCACGAGGATTTGTAAAAATTACTACTAATTACCAAAGTCTTTTAAATTATGATCTATTTGAGGAATCGAATAAGATAGTTTATGAAACAAAAATTAATGATTAAAAACAAACAACCAATTGATTAAATATTAATGAATTCAATTGTACTGGTTCTAGGATTTCTGACTTACCATAACTATGCCTATGTGAATTTTCACGATTAAATTAATTACTCCTAATGTTGATAATCAGGTTTTCCTTATGTAAATATTAATCTCTCTCGAGCATCAATAAATTATTTTGACAAACAAATTTCATATACTCTACGAAAGTTCTAAACTTGTCGAAATTTGTTAAGTATTGTAAAATCTATAACGATTACAAAAGTTCTTAGGATATCTCTATCCTATAGATTTCTTACGGTATTTCAAACAATAACTAAAACAATTATCACTTCTCGGTTTCAAATTGAATTCTAAATCATGCAGATGTTGGCCAAACACATGCAAGCATTACACATAGAATGAAATACTCAACATCTTAATGTAATAATTCAATCGAAGAAATTATTCACATAATCATAGTAAGGTTACATCAAAAATCCTAGAATAAAAGTCTACTCTATGGTTAAATTAAAGAGAAACAAACTTGATACGATGAACATCACTCAAAAGCAGAGAATTTTCGTCGAATAGCTAGGTGTCCTCCCGGTTTTCAATAGTTTTACCTCTGCTCTTTTTTTGTTCCCCTTTGGTGCCGCCTCCTTTCCTTTTCTTTCTATGTTGTAGGGTTTCTAGGTGTCTTCACTCCCCTATTTTCAGATCCCTTTATCTTCTTTTATATTGTGGCTTTTCTAACCCTATAGTAATGCGGAAAGTTTCCTTTTCTGCATTGAGTTCCTTCCTTCTCAGACATTATGGGCCAGATTTGAGGTAGAAAACATGCGAATTCAAAGATCTCTATTTCTGGAGAAATTGTAGAGAATCAAATTTTCTTTCCAACTAAAACTGATCTTGTAATTTTTGGACCTCTGAGAGTTGAGATACATAAACTAAAATAGTCTTTGCAGTGCAGGAATTTCAGGCTAGTTCAATCCTTGTTTTTCAACTTGCTTTTTGAGCTCCAAAACAACAAAACTGAGTTATATGCCCTTCATATGTTTTGTAGACCTTCATCTCAGCTATTTGAAAATGATGAAGAACATTTGGAACTAAGTTGTATAGCTTTTTTTTGCAGCACATAATGAATCACTGTTCAATTTCACTACCGGGCTTTGCCTGTTCAGTAACCTAAGATCTGAAAACATATTAATTTTTCCACGAGGTCAATAGTTCAAAACGAGATTCAAAATTCTAATTTTCTTGTGTAACATATCCAAAATATTTAAAAATCAAGCATGAATAGTGAAAAATATACATGCTAAAAATACCCTTATCAATATCATGATGGGTTCCTGAACCATTTTAGTGGAACAGATGCAAGAGTTTCAAGAATCGAGCTGAGTTTGTGAAAGATGATGTCATCGATCAATTTTTTATTACTAGAACATCCTCAAAATGACAAATGATCACAATTGCTTGAGGGGTTAAACTGTCAATCATTTTGTTATGGATTTTTGCCCTTTTGCATTTTGTTTTGGGGTCACATCTCATCTTTGAATGAAACATGTTTTCTCTTTGTCTTCTTGTTGTTTTGAAATCAAGCGATGCTTCTTTCAAAGGGTTTTTTAATAAAATATTTTGATCAAGCTCCAACATACGATTAAGATTAATCAATCCCGAAGATTAAAAGTATTTTGATTGCAGAAATAACTCGATGCTTGAAAATGACATGAGGTGACTAAACAATTTTAAACTCATACATGAAAATATTTTGATTGCTTGAAATGAGAAAAGGCCATTTTTGTTATCCCTTCACTTTCTAAAGATTATATCCCTTGTGGTCCCCATTTGAGCCTGGTAATATATTTTCTTTCAAAAAAAAACCCTAACTAGGATCACATCCCACACTAGGGGCAAATGAGAGATAGTTTGAAGACAGTGATAGAATTAATGGATAAAAGAAAGGCTTAGAACAAATGTCGAATGATTAAGAAAAGGCTAGAAGAAAAAAGTCATAGATTGAGGGTCATCCAAGAAATTTTTTAGGAAGGCTATGTAAAAGAAAAAAAAAAAAATGAAAGAAGAAGAAAAAAGAAAAAGTGGAATGGAAGGAGAATGTCTATTGATTCTAAGAAGGGCAAAAGAGGTCTTAGTTGAAGAAAGACATAACAAATGCCAAAAGTCAAAAAAATAATCAAGCTTCATATCTTTAGGTGTGTATATGATAAAGCCTCTAGTGTCTTCAAAAAGATTAGATTGGTTATTCATCAAAGAAAATTTGGATTAGTATTATGACCTATGTTAAGAGAATTCTGATATCTGAAATTAACAAGGTTATATATCATTTTCTCTACAATGACAACAAGAGAAAGAGAGTTGATGAATAGTTAATGTTGGTCCTAGGTCTTTGAAACCCTCAAACTCCTTTTGAGACTGAATTTTCCTTTTTGTCATAGCCATGAACCATAGCGTGCATTACGTGCTTTTAAAAACCCTTTTTGATCAAGTAAGCAATTTGAACCGATAAATGGCGCTCTCAAAACTTGAAGAGCTTTTCCATAAAGGTCATGACTTCATGAATCAAGCTACTGATTATTATGCATGCTGACAAAATTGGTGCTAAAAAAGAAAACAACTTCCTTGACAAATCCTCAAGTTTTGACTTGAGCCTTTTGTTTCTTGAAATTCACAGAAGGTCACCTCATCGCAGACCATCAAAAGATATATCCAAGATCAAAGATTAAAACTGACACAAAAAACCATGAAAAAAGCATTTTAATCTTACAACGGGTCAGTTTTGTTTTGTTTTTTTAAATATAAGACAATCAAAAGACTACATTGAATAACGTGTGTTGGATCTTTGACCAAAGAAGCTTGATTTTCAAAAGATCTTTTCCAAAGCTAACATCTCTCTAATTTCATCTCAACAATTATAGACTTGAATGGACATGATCTTTGAAGGATGAGATTTGATTCTAGAACAAGATTGTTAAACAAAGAAGAACATTGATTGAGTTTGCAAAATCCTTGACATGAAATGACATCAACTCTTCTCAACACTCCTTGAAAAGTTAAGACACTTTGGGGCAATACAGTGGACTCTGAGAAGGAAAACAAACAGTATTCAGCTCAGGTACGGGACAAGGCAAAATCTTATGATGAGTCGTCAAAGTCCATCAAAGTTATGTTTAGCACCTGGCAATAACAAAGAAAAAACCTTTTGAGTATAGATAGATGAACGAGCATTCAGATCATCACTGGGAGTAATGTTGTTCAAAGACAGTTTATGATCTAGTGAATTTCAGCATCACTTGATGAGCAACGCTGCATCTAAAGGACATCTTCATCTTGGGTTATCCTCTAAAACATAGCTATGATTCCCGAAAAATGTTATTATGTAGTTGCATTTAAATGAATGCTGGAAGGATGCACTCACCAAGATTGACTATAGGACCATCTGTTTTGAAACTCAAATGCACACTTCACCGCATGAATATGGGTGATAAAGATCATTGCTAATTACAATACATTTCTTTGCATGATCTGATTTGACAAGATGAGAGGAATCCATAGAGAAGAACATTGAGCTTTTTAATGCAAATTATGAGATGCATGTCTAGATGACTTGGCAGTTCCATAAAGGCTGATGATAACATACTTGAAGAGTAACTGATGTAACCATATTATTCGATAGTTTCACCCACTTTTACCTAATGTTTTGTCCATGTTTTATATGTAAAATGCCTTAGTTTAAGAGCTAAGTCTTGGTTTGGACTCCTTCTTCTTCAATCAAGCTTGATAAACAACGAGAGTAGTAATCGCCGTGGATAGCCTAAGATGGGCATTGTACTTGCATTTGAGTGGAAGACCAGCACGCAAATGAGCCAATACATCGAAAGAACAAAGAAAGCTTTGGAATGCAAACAAAGGCACCCTACGACGATTGAGCATCAAAGAAGGGGGGCCTATATTTGAAATCAGGTAAGGATGCATACATGTCATCTAACCTCAAAAAACACTTGCACAGATTTTTGATTTGTTACAAGAAAATCCTCAATGAAGTCCAACAAGATTGTGGATAGAAAGAATCATTGTGTCAATAATAACAATCATCGGTTTAGATCCTGGAATGAGAAAAGAATGAGATGAACCCTGTCGGTAGGAAAATCTCAAAGAAATAAGGAGATCAACCCTATCATTAAAAGGAGTCTTCAATTCAAGCCTGCAATCAGGAAGCGCCGTTTGTCAGCCTTATCCTGTCAAAACTTCGTCTGCCAAGTCTTTTTGCCAAGTAAGTCACATCATTTTTGTCATCTGGGTAGGTCACCCATAACAATGAGACCACCTTTCATCTTTCATCTGAGTAGGTCATCCATCACAATGAGACCATCATTTTTTTTTCCTTGGGTAGGTCACCCATCATAATGAGACTACCACCTTCATGTGGGTAGGTCACCCATCACAATGAGACCATCATTTTTTTTCTTTAGGTAGGCCACCCATCACAATGAGACCATCATTCCATTTGGGTAGGTCACCCATCATAATGAGACCATCATCTTTTCTGGGTAGGTTACCCATCACAATAAGACCATCATTTTTGCATCTGGGTACCCATCACAATAAGACCATCATTTTTCCATCTAGGTAGGTCACTCATCATAATGAAACCATCATCTTCCATCTAGGTAGGTCACCCATCATAATGAGACCATCATCTTCATTTGGGTAGGTCACCCATCATAATGAGACCATCATCTTCATTTGGGTAGGTCACCCATCATAATGAGACCATCATCTTCATTTGGGTAGGTCACCTATCACAATGAAACCATTATTTTTTTCCACTTGGGTAGGTCACCCATCATAATGAGACCATCATCTTTCATCTGGGTAGGTCACCCATTATAATGAGATCACACACATCTTTGTATCGATTCTGGTTAAAGGAGATCACCAGATAGGATCTCAAGTTAACCCAACCACACATAGAGTTTTAGCTTTGGTTAAAGGGAATCGCCAGGTAGGATTTTAGGTTGACCGAGCCACACATCGATTTTGGTTCTGGTTAAAGGAGATCGCCAAATGGGATCTCAGGTTATCCCAATCAAAAGGGCAGGTCGCCCATGAAAATAGACCAGCATGAGTATGTGTGGGCAAATCGCTCGTGAAAATAGATAAGTGTGTGTATATGAGGGCAAGTCGCTTATGAAAATAAACCAGCGTGAGTATATGTGGGCAGGTCGCCCGTGAAAATAGACCACAATGAGTATGTGTGGTTAGGTTGCCCATGAAAATATCCAATTATATGTGGGCAAGTCGCCCCTAAAAATAGACCATAATAAGTATGTTTGGGTAGGTCGCCTCTAAAAATAGACTAGTGTGAGTGTGTAGGCAGCTCACCCTTAAAAATAGACCATTTTTTTTCAAAATAGGCAGGTCGCCCTTGAAAATAGACCACTTTTCTTCAAAATGGGCAAGTCACCCAAGATAATGAGACCGTTTCTTTTGAAAAGTGAAGTCCTTGGCTAAGTGGATCGCTCAATAAGCCAGGAAGACCTTTTATTTTCTTTACAAGCTTACTATGCAAAACATTGAGGAATTTTTGCTTCGTAAGTATTGTAAAGAGGGGTGCTATCCAATTTTTAACCCATGTTTTTGATAAATTTTCAAAAAAAATAAAAAATAGAAAAAAACAATGAAAAACCCCAAAAAATGCATTATGATATATTTGTATCGTTTTTAGCATTTTCAACGTCATCTCAGAAGAATATAAATTTTCAAAGGTATTTTGAACACGTTCAACTTTTAACGCGTTAATTTTACAATCACTGATTTTTCTTGTTGAGTCGACGTTGATATTGCTTGTTTTCAAAAAAATTCAAAAAAATCAAAATTAACAAAAAAAAGAAAAGAAAGGAAAAGTTGAGGGACTAGTTTGAAAACCTAGCAAATATTTCTTCTATAAATACTACTAAAGTAATATAGAAAAAGGGGGAAGAATTTACTCGGGGAGGATTTGGGAAAGGGAGGGGAAGAGTAAACAAAAAAAAAGGAAAAGGAGGGAAAAACCCTAAAATTTCTTCTCTTGGTCACCGCTCCCCGGGTCCCCTGTTTCTCTCCCAAACTGAAGGGAGCCCTCTCCCTTTTCCTTTTGGGAGCCGGCAGCCACTCTCACTTTTCCCTCATCACAACCTCCCCCTCTCTACTATTGGAGGCTTCTCCCCATTTCCCTACACCCAAGTAGTCGATCCCTTCTCCAGTCGAAACCAGAGAAGCCAGGGTAATCCCCCCATTTATTAGTCTTCCTCTGGCCAAAAAGTCGCCGCCCCTACCTTTTTCTTTGAGGCCAGGAACCAGAGAAATCAGAGAGCACATAACAGACCCCCTTACAGCTTCTCTCTCGACCTCTCCCTTATAAACCCAAATCAGCCATACTCTCCCTTCATCTCACCAGGGCTGTTCCTTCACTGTCGATCTTCCCTCAGCTGCTACGAACATTATCTTCGACCACTCCCACCATTTCAAGAGATCTTCCCTCTTAGCTTTTCCCTTCTCCAGCCGCCAGCTCGCCAAGACCGGCCTCCACCGAGCCCTATAGCAGTAGCCGATCTCCTTCAACAACAACCCTACAACACCACCCGCAGACTAGATGGAAACCCAGAGGCTAGCAACCCTATAATCATACTGCTGGCCGCCTGAAACAGAGATGCTAAGACCGGATTAGAGCCGCCGGTAACAGCCCAAACACAGCGGCGACACCCACCGCTTCGGCCCTAGCGAGGCCACCGCTAGCAATCCAAGCCTGGCAGAACCCACCTTAGCCTAGCACAGCAGCCTCAGCCCTGCCCTCAGAGCCGACTGCCACCTGAAGAAGGGAAGAACAGAAAACCAAAAGAGAAGACAAAAAAGAGTAGATCTGAAAAAAGGAGAGAATCGGAAGCTTTGCATTGTGTTTTTCCCTTTTTGCAGGTAACGGTGGTTCCCACAACCAGTAGCGATGGGAAGGGAAGAAGAAAACAAGGCAGATCCGCCCATCTCCAAGCATTGTCAATGGCGGCATGTGAACCCACACGCCGCCAGTGGCGAAGGCGCGTAGAGGAGACACGTCGCCACTTTTCCGGTGGTGCAGAAGGCCTTCCCTGTGATTCCAGATTGTTTTTAGGAGCTATTTTGTAAATTTAAAATTATGTAATGTAATTTTTGTTTAGTTGTTTTGAATATGTATTTGGAAGTTTGGATGTAAAAAGAAAGAGAGAAAAGGAAAGGAAAAGAAAAAAGAAAAAAATATAGTGAAAGAGAATGTGGTTAAATAGTGGTTAAATATCTCAAGGACAAATAAAATCATGTTATATTTTTCATGAAGATGTAAGAACATGTTTCTATATATATTCTAGGATTTAATAACTGATTTATTAAAACCTTAGAATTTGATTAATATTTCAAATTTTCAAATCACATCAAACTGCAAGCAGTTTATCTTAGGTAGGGTATGCTAGGGGTGCTAATACCTTCCCTAGCCACAACCAGTTCCTTACCTCTTGAATCTCTGGCAATGATCAGTACATCTAGGTTTTCTAGTAACTTTCCATTAAGTACTAGGTGGCGACTTCTAAGAACCAATCAAGGAAAAATAACAAAAAATCACCGAATCGCCGCCCGGGGGACGTGTGACAAATACTTTGCTTGTTAAATAACTAATCTAGATTTATGTAGTATAACACTTGGTACAACAAATACTTGGCACTTTCATAGCCCAATCATATGGTATAACCTACATCTATACTATAAAAGGAACTTGATTTGTTGTTAACATAAGTTATAAGCATGAATGTCTGACAATATTTACAAGTATTAGCATGAATCGAATAAGATAACTAATGTAATCATGTTAACAATTTATAATCTGATTGAAACCTTCCTTATGTGTGATTTCAAATTGAATAACAAGAGTTTATACTATACTTGTTTGGCATACCATTAGTGGATCCTTTAACCTTGACATTTATTATTGTTATTGTTTAATCCTTATATTGATCTTCTATCTCAAAATTCCTATCAACTTCTTTTTCTTCTTCTTTTATAACTATTATTATTACTATTACTATTACTATTACTATTACTATTATTATTATTATTATTATTATTATTATTATTGTTGTTGTTGTTGTTGTTGTTGTTTATAATTTATATAATTAACTTCCCTGTGATTCAACTCCGGTCTTACCGGGTTATTTATTACTTCGACACTCCTGCACTTGGGAGAAGACATCAATCTTTTATTCGTGTCAAGTTTTTGATGCCGTTACCAGGGAGGTAAATTTTTGTATAGATTATATTATTTATTTTATTTTTTATTTTCACTTTTCTTGTATATAACTTTGTTTCTCATGTTTTGTTTCTCCTTCTTTAGTTTTCTTCTTCCTTTTATTCTATTCCTACACGTGTATGAAAGTGTGGTCACGTACATTAAGTGATAGACTTTATAGGGTATCCTCATCATTTTCAGAAAATATGGCCGAAGATGATAACCATTCCCTTCATAATGAGAATAACCCTGTTAAAACACTTAGATATCACATGAATCTCATAAAAACTAGTGCACTCTCATGTATAGTTTTCCTTCCTAATGTATCTCTTCTTAATTTTAAGTCAAACATTATTCAACTTTTACCTTCTTTTCATGGCTTAGAGTTAGAAAATCCATACTTGCATTTAAGAAAATTTAAGGAGGTCTACAACATATATAATGACTCAAATTGTAGCATGTACAACATTAGATTAAAGCTTTTTCCCTTTTCATTAAAAAATAAAAATAAAACATGACTAGAAAATTTGAGACTTGGATCCATTCGTGCTTGGGATGAAATGCAATAACAAATTTTAAAGAAGTTTTTCCCATCTCACAGAACAAACTCTTTCAAAAGACAAATCACCACTTTCACTCAAAAACGAGGAGAAACATTTTACCAATGTTGAGATAGGTATCGAGACTTGCTTAATACTTCTGCTCATTATGGTTTTGAAACATGGAGATTGGTTTCATATTTTTATGAAGGGTTAACAACTAGAGATAGGCAAATGATTGAATTGATGTCCAATGGAACTTTTGAAGATAAAGACCCTGATGAAGCAATGGAGTACTTTGACTTATTAGTTGAAAATGCTCAAAATTGAGACACCGCGAGTACTTATAAGTCACCGAGTAAAACTCAACCTCATACATCTAGTAGAGGTATGTACAACCTTAGGGAAGATCATGACCTCCAAGCCAACTTTGCATCTTTAGCTAAAAAAGTTGAGGCATTAGAATTGAAAAAAAGTGGTCAATTAAAATATGTTTAAGACATTGTGTGTCAAATCTATGAAACCAATAAACATTCAACCAATAATTATCCAACTTTGCCTTCTTTTAAGGAATGTCTTCATGAACAAGCCCATGCTTTAACCAGTTTTCAAAGGCTCAATCATAACTCATACTCGCAAACATACAACCCTGGCTGGAGAAATCACTCAAATTTCAGTTGGAAGAGTGATAATAACAATGGACAAACTTCACAACCACCCTTTCAAGCACACCATAAATTCCAAAATTGTCATGGATATGCACCTCCTTATACTCCACCTCCTAGAAGAAATCTTGAGGAAACATTGCATGCATTCCTTGAAAACCAAAAGACAATCAATACTCAACTTGCTCAAAATATGATAGATTTTAAAGATACTCTTACAAAATTGACATTTGCTCTCAATTTCCAAGAGAAAGGTAGGTTTTCATCTCAACCACAACAAAATTCTAAAGAGCAATCCAATGCAAATACAAGTAGTTCTGGAAATCAACACATGGATCAAGTCAAATCAGTCACAATTTTCTGCTTTATTGGAGAACATAAAGTTGAAAGAGTCTTACTTGATCTTGAAGCTAGTGTGAATTTACTTTCATATCAGTTTTTCAAAGTCTCAATCTTAGTGAATTAAAACCAACTTTTATAACTCTCTTACTTGCTGATAGATCTATAAAAATGCCTAGAGGAATAGTTGAAGATATGTTAGAACAAGTCGATAAATTGATTTATCCTGTGGATTTTATTGTCTTAGACACACAACCTGTTAAAACATGTAATTCATTTCCTGTTATTTTAGGACGTCCATTTCTTGCATCTTCTAATGCATTGATTAATTATAAGAATGGACAGATGAAGCTATCTTTTGGAAACATGACATTAGAGATGAATATTTTCAACATTTGCAAGCAACTTGGAGATGATAATGATTCACAGGAAGTAGATCTTATTAACGAATTAGTTTATGATTAATTTGAATCTACTATGAGTAAAACAGAGTTGGATGAATTTGAAGATTTGCAAAATAATTTGTTCTCAGGAAGAAATCACGGATGAAAAAGACACCGAAAATATTGATATGGATCTTTTATCAAGAGTGACAACAGATTCGACATCAATATCACATCAATCGATGATTACTTTCCTGACAAATCCTTACTTTCTCTTAGTCCAATGCCTTGGTATGATAAAAATAACAATTTTCTTGCTTCAAGAGATTTGCCAACTCATTGGAGTACCCAAAACAAAGGAAAGTTTTTGAATGAAGTGAACTTTTATTAGGATGACCCTAACTTATTCAAATATTGTCCTGATCAAATATTTGAAAGATGCATTCCTGACAATGAGGTAAGTAGTGTCATTAAACTTAGTCATTTTGATGCATGTGGGAGTCATTTCTCGTCAAAAAAGACAGTTGCAAAAATCTTTCAAAATGGATTTTATTGACCCACCATATTAAAGGACACGCTACATTCTGCAAAACTTGTGAAAATTCTCAAAAAGTTGATATTGATAAAAAAGTTTTGTTTTATAATTCTCAACCCCATTTATTCTTTTGAGAGCCAACATTAAGATGGAGCAGTCCATTTATTGAGAAATATATGTATCCTTATGGAGTCTTTGACATTAAGAATCCAAAAAATGACAATGTTTTTAAGGTAAATGGACATCATTTGAAAGCTTACTTTCATAATTTTCTTAGTGAAAATGAATCCACTAGTTTGAATGATCTTATAGATAAAGGTTGGTTATTTTATTTTTCTCATATTGTTTTTGTGTTTTTTCTTTTTGTGATTCTTGGTTTCCTAGTCTCTCTCACCCCGGTTAAATGGCGGATAATGGTACTCCGTGACTCTTAAGTTCGTTCTTTCAGTTTCCTATGATAACTGATATCTGTGTATCTATTTGTTCAATTCCTTGTTCCTTCTCTTCTCTTAGCATCTCTTTTCCACTTCTCATCTTGAAAAATGGACACCACTTTTGAAAAATTGAAAAAGTATTTTCCCGCTTTACCTCAAAATGCGATTACAAAAATTTATTGAGCTAGGTGTGCAAGATTGAGGTTGTTAATGAACCATGGAATTCACTGGTTAATTGAAGCAAAGGTCCGATTATCAAGTGAATCATCTAATTCCTTCATTTCACATATACCTGGAATAGGTAAAAGCATTTTTTCAAAGAAACATCATGCAAAACGAGTGAAAGTCTGTCATCGATATACCAAATGGACTTGTAATGCACAATGTCGTTCTTTAGGAATGATATCTGTAAACCATAAAGATAAAATACTATTTATTAAGGATGGCCTGAGTAAGGAGTCTTTAGATGATCTTCTATTGACTCTTGAGACGCATCCTAGTAGAGATGTGCATCGTGCAATTCATGATTTATGGCCACTATTCCATACAACATGCTCGACATAATCTTGGAAATCTGACTAAAAAAGACCATGTTTGCCGGTTTTTAAGAAACTTGGATGGAAAGCCTATCCCCGACCCATTGAGGGTGTTTAAGTCATTCTTGGATGTAAAACCAAGGGAAGGTGTGAGCCACAATCACAACTGCGATTTGAGTCTTAGTTTGTAAAAACTTGTGTATTTTTTTTTAATAGCATAATATTTGTGTTTTGTTTCTTATATTTGTTTAAGTGTGTTTCAAGTTTGTTAGTGTTTGGTGTTTCAGGTGATGTCTTCCATACTCTATCTTTCTACCCAAGGACATTGAGGACAATGTCTTGTTTTGGTTGGGGGGAAAGGGTAGTAGTTTATATTAAAAAAAAACTAACTGTGTTTTCGTTTTCATAAACCATTTGCAAATTGTTGAGAGTAAGGAAGAATTTTATTGACTCTTGAGACATATCTTGGTAAATATTTTTAAATAGTTATTTGTATTATTCATAGCAAGGTCTATCATAATACTTCTTGAAATATTCAGTTTTGCAAACTCTCGCATTGTTATAACTTAATTCTGCTTATATACTCATTTAACATGTATTCTTAAACCTTAATTTTCACACACACACTTTAACATATGATTGTGGGTTGCACATTGGATTATTACATTATTTATGTTCTTTTGTTAAAGGTAACAACTAAGAGAAAGGGATAGTATATAATTTGAAAAAAAAAAGAAAAAGAAAAAAATGATGATAATAAAAATATAGATAAGTTTGGTTTCGTAGCCTCCCTAACCTAAACAATTAAGCCCGAAGGGGTGTCTTAACACCTAATACCCTAAAGTCAACTAACTTGAGAGCTATTGGCCCAATGCTTATTACATGGGTTTAGGAGAAAAGCTTAAAGGAATCAAATATTGCACTATCTATGTATTAATATCTACAACTCGAGTTACTAACTTCGTAGGGGTGTCTCAACATCTAATACCCTAAGACCAACTGGTCTA